ACTTCCCCATGATATATATAGGACATTTTAATTAGCATTTTATGAGGTTGACCTGTCTACATTTAGTATCCTTATAAATTGTCTACGTATATCCTTTGCCTGTTTTCTGTTGGTCTCCTATTTTTTGTTATTGATATACTAGAAGCCCAGTGCACAACATTCATGCATTGGAGGGGGGCGGGGGCTCCTCAGCTTGGCCTCCCACCACGACCTCTGCACTCGCCAGCCATCAGCCTGGCTTGTGGCTGAGCGGCACTCCCCCTGGTGGTCAATGCGCATCATAGCGATCGGTCATTCTGCCATTTGGTCAATTTGCATATTACCCTTTTATTATATAGGATGATAACTTTTTATTATTAAGGCTATAACACACTAACAACTATTTTTCCCATTTGGGGTCTCCTTTTAATTTTGCCTAGGTATTGCAGACCATGACTTTCTTAGAAGCTAAGTCCTGTGTTTTGTAGTTTCTTCCATTGCTTTAATGTTTAACTAGTCCTTTCCTATGGTGAGAGTCCATAAACCTCTATCCATATTTTCCCCCCAAGGTGTTTTCTGGAAGTGATTGATTTTTACTGTCCCCTTACCCCCACCTAAACTCACCTTCCTTTCCCGGCTTCAGGCTCACCTGCAGGAAGAGAGAGGTCCTCTTGGTTGGGTCCCAGTGAAACTCCACTGTGTTGAGCTGTGAGGGCAGCACCTGGGGTTCTATCACCCCCACGGACAATGGCACATCTGCAGGCACAGAGCAGCAAGCAGGCAGCAAGGCTCAGCCCTCCCCACCTCAAGGGCTTTCAAGACAGATGGTGGCCCTAAAGGGTCCCTCCCCATTCACCGATGTCCAGGATGCGGTCCCCAGGCCGGCTCCATCTCCACCCCTCCAGCTGCTGCTGCTCCGTGTACTGCAGGCGCCGGTCATGGAACACCACACGCACCACACTCTGTCGGCACAGGAAGGTGGCGCTCGTAGGCATTTGGGAACCAGTTCCCATACCTGGGGTAGGCCGACCCTCCCACCCTCTCCCCACCTTGCTTCCCACTCCCAGGAAACATGGGACTTAGAATCACTAGATCTGTGTGCAGATGCCCACCTGCCATTCTGTGAAACTGGGGAGGTAACTTAGAGACCCTGAGCCTCAGTTTCCTCATCTGTAAAATAAGGAAGTTAATCCCTTCCCACTCTGAATCACTCTACCGGGCTCTTTTCTACATATTTTTTAACGATAAGCAAAAGTTTACTTAGAAGATCACAGAGGTAGAAAGAAGCAAACCAGCGGGGCTGTGTGGGCCCAGGAATCAAGTTATGGAGGCAGAAGAGGGGCCCTGGGAGCTCAGGAGAGAAAGGCAACGGTAGCTGGCCTGTGCGGGAAGAAGCGGGGAGGAGAAAGGCAGGCGCGCTCTAGAGAGGGGGAGTGCTAGCAGTCTTTTCTTTGCAGCACTTATCATTTTGCAATTTGTAAATCAAGTTGTAATTGCATCTAATTTGTGTAATTACAGGTTTGTCTCACTCAGTAGAATGCAAGCCCCCTGAGGAAAGGAATTACATCTCTCTTCACTGCTGAATCTCTGGCTCAGAGAATAGTTTCTGGGAATAAATGGGAGCTTAATGAATAATTTTTTAAAATCCTCACCCAAGGACATGTTCCCTTCTTTTTTTATTTGAGAGAGAGAGAGAGAGAGAGAGAGAGAGAGAGAGAGAGAGAGAGAGAGAAACATCAATCCATTACCTCTGGTATATGCCCAGAATGGGGATGGAACCCAAAACCTAGGCATGTGCCCTGACCAGAGTTGAAGCTGCAACCTTTGGGTGCATGGGACAATGCTCCAGTCAAATGAGCCACCCGGCCAGGGCTAAATGAATAACTTTTTGAGAGAACTAATTATGTGTGTGAATAACACATATCCCCCCCCCCTTTTCTTTTCTTTTTTAATTCTCACCTGAGGTTATTTTGTCCATTGATTTTAGAGAGAAGGAAAGACAGAGAGCAATGTCAATGTGAGAGAAACCCATCGATTGGTTCCTCCTGCATGAGCCCCGACCAAGGCCCAGGCCGGGGAGAAGCCTGCAACCCAGGTACGTGCCCTGGACTGGAATCAAACCCGGAACCCTTTGGTCTGCGGGCTGACACTCTATCCACTGAGCCAAACCGGCTAGGGCTGTAATATACTAATATTTCTATATCCCGGTTCTGCTACTTACTGGCTGTGTCATGGAAAAATACTTAACCTCCCTGTACCTCTTGCCTGCACAATTCCTGCCCACCGCTGTGAAGGTCAACTGAAAAGGTGGACCTGAGAGGGTTCTACCCGACAGTGACATCACAGGGATGGCACTGGCTTCCTGCCCCGTGGGACAGTCAGACTCAGCCTTTGTCGGATCTGGGAGGGGAGGCACCTACCTTCAGCAGCCGCGGCCACTGGGTGGCGTCACCCAGCTTGGAGTTGCAGAGCATCTGCACCTCATAGGACTGGCCTGGGAGAGATTGGGGGACGTGTGAGCCCCACTCCGAGGGGCAGAGGTGGCGCCTGCCTCCCCAGCCCACCCTGGCACAACCTCCAGAGCCTGCTGCCCCCACTCACCCCTTTCCTTCCCAGGCCCAGCGTACCCTGGTTCAGGTAGGTCAGGGCCTCCTCCTGCTGCTTCACGGCTGGTGAGGTGGCCGCACGGAGCACGTACTGGAATGAGGGGCAGGGAGGCTCCATGCTGGGGATGTTGGGCAGCTCCTCCTGCTTCAGGTAGGGCAAGGGCAGGGACTCCCTGCAGGGAGAGGAGGCCCTGCCAGCTTTCTGCCCTGTCCACCCCACCCCCTATGGGGCGTTGAGATTCTCTGCCAGGTTCTATCTCCTGGGAGCCTCCAGTTTCCTGTAGCAGGCATCCCAGCAGCAGCCAGGGCCAACAGGGCCGCCATTCCACTCCTTTGGCCTCTGGGAGACCTCCGTTAAGATGCAAATCCCAGATACTACCAAGCATCGACAAACATCTGGCATCAATTGCTTGTGCGCAGCCTCAGGGTGTGCCTGATACCAAGTCAATGCCCCACCAAAGTGTCCTGTGTAGGTGGTCAGGGTGTTGTGAGATGTCCCAGGACCCACTAAACCCAGGTACATTTCACCACATCCCCACCCCCAAAGGGACCCAAGAGCAGGAAGCCCATCCCCCTCTACTTGAAACAGAGGCCCTACGTGTCCACCACAGCTCGCACCAGGGCCTTCCTTCGGGGCCGAGGGAAGGGGCTCTGGCCCTTACCTGAGCAAGCTGCTTGGCGGCCCGGGGTACAATTCCCCGGGACTGGGCCACAGGTGCTCCAGCTGGTTGTGCCAAAACAGCATCTTGGAAAGGGAGCGGGCCAGGTGTGTGACAGAGAGGTCAGCACTGGGTGGGGCTGGACCCACTGGGCCTCTGTGGGGATCTCAGCCTCTCTTTATAGAAGCAAACCCACTAAAGGGTGGGGTCAGGCCTGGGGCCTCTGATTGGCTGAGCACCAGTGCTCTAGGAAACTCTGGACCTATTAGGCAGCTTAAGCTGGGAGGGGGGCGGGGGGAATGGTGTCCCCAGGGCTCCCTACCAATCATTAACTTGAAGGGGAGGTGGTGGTACAGCAAAACAAAGTCACAGGGACGCACATCCACTCCCCCACCATTCCCCAAGAGGCCCAGGGACCAGGAGGGGACACCCTTAGGCTTCAAGATTGGCCCCAGGTCCATGAGCCGCGTAGAATCCCAGAGACTCATAGGCTAGGACCCCTCACATGACCCCATGGGAGGAGCCTGACTCCTCCCAGGGGACAGGACAAGCAGGCATGCTGCATCTCACGCACCTACAAAGGGTCTTTGCTCCCTGCTGGCCCCCCCCACCCTCCTCTTCCCCGATCCCAACACACAGGTGCGGTGATGGCAGGACACCTGTGCTTTTGCTGGGCTGCCTGGCTAGGGGACTGGAGTTTACAGAACATAGTCCAGCTTGCTGTGGAAACAACTCGGGGGGTGGTGCTGGCAGGGAGAGCCTGCCTGTGGGGAGGAGCGGTGTGTCTGAGGGTGACCCCTCCCAGGGCAGTAAGAGAGGAGTTCCAGTGGGGTTGGTTTCTTTGCCCCTCCTCTGCCCTGGGGTACGGGGTGGACTGTGTTTATGGACAAATACAGTCTGCCTTGGGGAGGGCCTCCTTCCCCATGCTCAGCCCCTGTTGTCACTGTACACAGACAGCCCCAGGCCCCTGTGCCCAACCCCCAACTACTGTTTGGTATAAACACACAAGGGCCGTGCAGGGAACAGAGAGACAGGCCTCTCAACACATCGCCTGAGCTCATGTGACCTTAGCTATCCAGGCCTGGTGACTCTGCAGGGCCTGCCTGGGGGACAGGGAAAGCCAAGGGTCCCCCCTCAGGGCACCTCCATCTCCGGGTGCCTGGCCCTTGGTCCTGTACCTGCTTTCTTTTCCATAAACCCAGACAAAATGGAAGAAGGGAGAAGAGAGGGATGGGAACATGCCTGCCAGGAAGGCCAAAGGAGCCCAAGTACCCAAGATCCCCTGATAAGAACCCCAAGACTTGGAGAGCCCACCCATTGCCCAAAGGTGGAGTCCAGGTCATGAGGCCCCCATGGAGCCCTCCAAGATTGGACAGAGCAGGACCCCAGGAAGGGAGGGGAGTGGAGGGGTCCTGGCCACCTTGGTCCTGGCCTGGGGGGAGCAGGGTATGGAGCAGAGGAGGCAAGCAGGCCGATGGAGGTAGAAACGGTGGAGGCTGGTGTGGGCCCCCTTTGAGGACAATCCCCAGAGCAGGTCCTGGGAGTGGGACTCCAACTCCAGCACCCGATTCCCTGCCCTCTCACCACCCTCCACCTGCTTGCACCCTCCCCCTTCACCCCTGAGTTCATCTCTCCCATACTGGCTGCTAGTCCTTCCTCCCACCCCTCTGTCCCACTCAGATGTTGCTGGGCCTGTTCCTGGTTTTCCATGGCTCTCTCTCTCCTCTCTCCCTCCTCCCCTTTCTTTCCTTCCTTCTTCCTTCCTTCCTTCCTTCCTTCCTTCCTTCCTTCCTTCCTTCCTTTCTCTCTCTCTCTCTCTCTCTCTCTCTCTCTCTCTCTCTCTCTCTCTCCTCAGCTGGGCTTGAGGCAGTGCCTGGAACCTAGCTACTTGCAGCCCCCCCAACCCCACCCTACTCTTTCGCTGGGCCCCTGGGCCAGCACAGAACAGAGTTTGAACAGCTCATCCTCAAGCCCAGACAGGCCTTGGGACACTTCTGGTGCAGACCCCGCACTCTCAGAGGATTCTCAGGCCCTGGGGGGGGTGAGGCCCCCACAAGGCAGGGGCATGGCGCAGACTCCCCTCTTTACCTTCTAAATGGGAGCAAGGCCTCCCTCCCACCCGGTGTGGCAGTGAGGATTAACGGTCCTTCTGTGGCGCTGCATCTTTGTCCAGGGTTGAATTCTCAAGAGCTCCCCTTGGGGTATCGGGGGGCACCAGCAAGGTCCCCACTGTCACAGTCCTGGGGGGTATAGACGTGACTGTCTCAGAAACTTCCCCCCACACAGATAATTTCAGGGACAACTTTTTGGGTGCAATTTTTTTAAATGGATTTTTCCCCACCCAAAATGTTCTATCATTTTCTAGGCCATGGCATAAACCAATCCTAATAATACCCTTTTGGGCTTCATAAGCCAAGGAAGTAACTTTTTATCTGTTAAAAAAAAAAATGCTGAGAAATAACAATTCTGTGTCCTTTTTCTCCTCTAACCAAAATGTCTTGTTTGGTTTGGCTTTCTATCCCAAGGCAACATTCGAACCTGGAGAGTGGGAGAGTTGAAGGGTGAAGTCTACCCCTCCCTCAAAGAAAGAGGGGCTGAGAGGAGAAAGATCATTCATTCATTCGTTCATTCATGCATTCAACAAAATGCTATGAAGTGCCTACTATGTACCAGGCTCTCTCTTTCTCTCTCTCTCTCTCTCTCTCTCTCTCTCTGTCTGTCTGGAATCTTGTCCATCAAGGGCAAAAGGCCTGGACCCTGGGTTCCTGGCAAAATTATTTTACAAAGGAAGGGATGAGAGCATGATTTTTTAGACACCTCAGGCACAGGCACACAAGAGCGTGCACACACAGAGGAAGCTGACAGTCCCATATGGCAACCCCTGTGTGGTCGGTGTGTCTGCACACAAATTCCCCTCCCCCAAGAGGCAGTCCCTCCGCCAGCAAAATGCCTCTGAGGATTTTGGGTGCACAGCTCCAAAGGGCACCCCACTGAACCGTTCCCCCTGGGGTTGAACAACACACAGGCCTGGCTCTAAGCCCCAATCTTTTTTTTTAAATATATTTTTATTGATTTCAGAGAGGAAGGGAGAGGGAGAGAGAGATAGAAACATCAATGACGAGAGAATCATTAATCAGCTGCCTCCTGCCCACCCCCTACTGGGGATCAAGCCTGCAACCCGCATATGTGCCCCTGGCCAGAATGGAACCCAGGGACCCTCCAGTCCGCAGGCTGACGCTACCCTAACCGGTTTGGCTCAGTGGGTAAAGCCTCGGCCTGTAGACTGAAGGGTCCCAGGTTTGATTCCGATCAAGGGCATGTACCTTGGTTGCGGACAGATCCCCAGTAGGGGGTGTGCAAGAGGCAGCTGATCAATGTTTCTAGCTCTCTATCCCTCTCCTTTCCTCTCTGTAAGAAAATGAATAAAATATATTAAAACTAATAATAAAATAAAAAATATTTTTAAAAAATTCTCTCAAGTTCTGAGTGAACCACTTTGCCTGCTCTCCCGCCCCCACCCCTTCCTCCATGGCCCTGATGAATTGCTCAGTGGGGCTCCAGGGAGTGAGTTTGAAAAGCCACTTTGCACAGGAAAAGTCAGCTTCCTGACCAACATTCAAAGCCATTTGTCCACTTTCCTCTGCCTTCCCTTCTCACCACGCCCCCTCCCTCTTGTTTGCCTGCAGCTTCCAGAACAGGCTGTTCTTGTTCACACCTCTGCGCATTTTCCCAGGCTGTCCCCTCGGCCTAGAACTGCTGGCCACCCCCAAGTCGGCCAGAGGGGCCCCCTGAATTATTGCGCCCTTGGGTCAGGATTTACAGTAAGACCTCTAATGCGGGGATCAGGCGCCCCAATGTCCATTACCACTCCAGGCAATCAGAAGGCTTAGGAGTCTCAAATGTAGACAGACCCTCAAAGGCCCCGCTAAGCACAGCTTTCTTGCAGTGCATCCAATGCTGCTTTCTGTGCGGCCTGCAGGGGGCGGTGTGGGCTCAGCCCTGCCCCAGGCTCTCCCATGCAGCTTGCAGCGGGCTCTACACTTTTCCAGCCAGAAAACCTCTCCCCATGGACCCCAGGGAGGAGATGCAGGCAGGGTCCACCCTCCCTGCCTCAACGTCTCTGTCATCACCACCCTCACGCTTCTCACCAGAGCCATCCTCACCTCTAACACTGCATCCAGTTGCTTCCAAACGTCATCCTCCCTCTTTCCCACCAGCTTTCAGCAACAGCCTCCATCCCAGTCTGTACCCAAAGCCCCTTTCCAGCAAAAGGCTCCTCCTTTAATAGTTTGGGCCCCCTCAGTGCTCATCTCTCCAAAATTCTAACCCCTAACAGCACCCGCAGTCCACTGGGCTCCACCCCCTCACTCACCCCAAAGTGATGACATTGCTGTTACCTTGGTAACAGATGCCTTGTGGGTGGGTGGGGGGAATGGACTAGAGAAAGAAAGAAAGCAGTGGCTTCGGGACACTGTCAGAGCCATGGGAGGTGGGGAGGGGGCAAACTGACACAGGGCCTGGGAGGGGCTGCCAGGGGCGCTGACCCACCCCACCATGGCTGCGGTCAGCCCTATGTCCCCAGCCTCAAGGGGAAAAAACAGAATAGAAGGGGACATCTTCCTGGAAAGAGAGATTTTCTTCATGGAGGAAAGGGAAATATCCCCAACCCCACTGTCCCCCTCCCACAGGAGCAGGTCCCCTGGGCTTGGCAGGGGCCAGGGAAGGGATTGCATATACTGGAGCCCAATTTGTTCCCCTCCAGGGAGCCTGGGGCACAGAGAGTGGGAACAGCTCACCCAGGGCGTATTAGGGACAATGCCACCAGCAGCGGGAGGGTGGCTCTATGCCAGTGTCCTGAGCTCCTGGGGTTGGTGGCAGCAGGGGGTGGAGGGGCCCTCCTCCAGCCCCTGGGGACCTGGCTGTCCCAGATGCCACAGACGGGAAGTGTGTCAGGCACTTGCGTAAGAGGCTTCTATATTTCCATAAAGTCGTAATTACTGAGGCCTGCCATGGGCCTTAGTTCATTAGAGTGGTATCTGCCTCTGGGCCCCAGGGTGGGCTGGCCGGCAGGGGGAAGTGGGGGAGACTGGACAACGCCAGGCCACTCATGGTGTTCTCTGCCTCCCCAGCCCCACCGGTCCCTCTTCCTCTCCCCAGCTAGGAGGTGAGAACCCAGAC